ATCAAAAGATGCTTTAAAAAAGTATTGCCTTAAATGTGTGTGCTCATGTTTGCAACCGGATTATTGAGCCTTTCTTATTTTTGTCTTGTTCTGGTGAATTTGTTTTCAGTACAGGATGAGTTCACATTACAAAAACCTGACGTTTTAACAGGGGAGTGGAGACTTTAGAAGTCATAACTACAAATGTAAGATCAACACAGGAGGCTTGAAGATGGTTTGAATGAAACATTAGAAATGTTACACAAAAGTTGGTGGTGATATCTTCTGAATATTAGCTTCAATGAAAGATTATTCCCATTTTGTATGATCATTATTGGCTTGTGTTAGTCAATTTTTAACATATCAGTATCTGTAAGTGAAAACTGGATCAAGATTAACAACTAACATTTCTTTCCGTTTTGTATATTTTTATGGTGCCAAACGTTTAGGAAAAATCTAGAAATATTTCAATAAATATTAGTTATTGGCAATACTAATATTGAGCATTGATATTGGCTCAAAATATTCACATTGGTGCATCCCTGCTCTCATTCCTCCAGCCTCCTTTCTTTGTCCTCATCCTGATGTCCAGATCTGCTAGATGTGGTACCAGAAATGTGACCTCTGCTGTTTTAAAGGCAGACTCTCGTGTCTTGACAGATCATGATTCAGACACAAACGCCTGGTAGAGCGTGACACACCTGTCCAGAGCGATGGCTGTCATGGAGTAAATGCTGGCAAATATGGCGGCGATGGGGAAGAAGTTGTGGAATCGGCAGTAGACCAAACCAAAGTACCACTCATTGTGAACGGCGTAGGCGAAGTTGATCACTGTGTTGAATGCCGACATGGCGGCCTCGGCGAAAGCGAGGTTCACCTGCAGAGGAAAGACAAAATTCACTTTGATCCAACTTGTAAACCTAACATGATTTTGCATATCCTTATTTTAAATCTAAACCTAGACACTGTATGTACTTGAAAGAGAGTCCTTTCCATTTCTATGTTGGAAATGGATGGTTTCTCAGATTAAGCTCATGAGAATGAGCAAACACACCGAGTCAAATTTAAAGGTCACAATCTTTCAAAATACAACTTATTAGATGAGGGTTATATTCAGAGGCAGAGACAGATCTGATTGGGAACTGAAAAACACAGAAAACAATCCAACACTTCCTTTATCAGAGTAGATCTCAGGATTTATGCTCATTGAGGAAAATTATCCAACCCCTGGGAGCCTTCCACATTTTGTCTCATTAATGACATAAACTTCCATGTGTCTCATTGGAAATGTGTGTGATAGATCAACACAATTCGGCACACATCGTTATAGTAGAGGAAAATCGACAACGGCTTTCAAAGGTTTTCACAAACGAAAAATCTAAAATGTGGGAACTGAATTAGATTTTTTTTTAAACAAAAATCAACCAGGTGCCTTCAGATGACACCTAATGAGTGAACAGAGTTCACCTGAGTGTAACTTAATCTGAGCATGAATGCAGGAAGGCCTCAGAGGAACAAACAGTTTTCTGAAGATGGGAAAGCAGCAGACAGGTCAAAGGTTTAGACTGAAGGAGAAGAAGAATGAAGCTCAGCTGGAGTTTGAGACATCAGTTGATTTTTGCAATTATGCTCAATGAAAGATGTTTGCTGTTTGTTTGTTGTTGTTTTTTTTCCTTAAAAAACCTGTAGAGTTAATTTATCTGGATCATATTTTATGTTTTTATTATTATTATTATTATTATTATTATTATTATTATTATTATTATTATTATTATTATTATTATTATTATTATTCTATCAACCAAAACACTTAATCAGATAAAGTTCCCTTCAAATTAGCAGATTATTCTCTAATTTACAGAGACTGGAAGTCAGTCTCAAACTCAGTACGTTGAGATTTGCTTTTAATGATTGATTTCTATATATGACCGCAGCTCCTACAGAGTCCTTGTCGTACGCACAGATTTTTGCGTCGCTGTATAAATAGACACAGTCTTGTATTACAATAAAAAGCCTAATTTCCTCACTCCCGTATCAAAACGCCCTATTTTTACGCACAACTCACTAGAAAGTAGTTGGTGACAGTCCTCATGCGTCTGTGCGCCAGAATAATCCAGATGACCACCACGTTGCCGACCACAGACACCACCACGATGCCGAAATAAGCGACGGCCCACAGCGTGATCTGCCACACGGGCTGGATGAACTTGTTGAAGGCGCCGCTGCAGTTCGCGGAGACGTTCGTCCCGATTTCGCCGCTGCATTCGGTGGCGTTGTAGAGCTCGTCCATCTTCTGGGCATAACCCCGATCCCAGACTTTAAAAAAATATATAGGCTCGAGTCTTCTCACTGGAATCCTGGAGAGCAAAAGTAGTTCGGCGCGTCTTCACTCATTTTACGCACCGCGCACACAGCGCTGCACTGAAGGAAAAAAAAAAATAAATAAATAAATACAAACGATACCAAAGCGCAAAACGCAGCGGCACACCAGCCAACTACTTACGCACTTCTGGTCTGCCTCATCTCCACACACACCAGCTCCTATACCCCCACTCACCAATCATGATTAGTGTTGGCTCTTTATGTGCAGAATCACATTCCAGGCGAATTATTAATATATGACCGTGTGAGCCAACTTAATTTATATGGACAGCTATAATCTCTGCAGGATTAATCTGGGTCAATTTGATGATGTTGCTTTTTAAGCAAAGGAAATAGCGGGCGGAAATAAACACAACGTACCTGAAAATGTGCGAATAATACATTAGAGAACAAGGCTGTGTGGATACCAAAGGCTTCTATGAATAAAACACTGAAGATGTAAAAGTCGTTTTAAATGTTTTAAGAATAAAATTGCATAAAAAGATCACAGAAAAACGGAGGTGTTCATTTCTGCCAATAATGCATAATTAATCATTAGTAGTGCTGAGATTAATCTAAAAAAGTTTATAGAAAAAACAAGGAAATGAGAGATTCTAAATTTGAAAATGTCCAAAAGTCAAAGATTTTTCTGTTTTGAAATTTTTTCCACAGGTGCAGAACAAAAAATTTACCCAGGATGAAGATCATGCTAGAACCAGATCCTTACCAGAACTTGGAGGATAAGCAAATGGCCCAGTGTCTGAAGTAATGATGCAGTTTTATCATTTCTTTTGTCTCTAGTAGGTGAAACAATTTAAAGCAGGAGTGCATCGATATATCAACCATCCGATAAATCAGCCCCGTTTTCCTTAATTTTGAGAGATTGGCGATGTGCTGATACCTACATGTGAAACCGATGTTATTTACTTGTGTAAAAATCTGAAAATCACCAACTGTTCCCATTTGTCTGCTGTGTGAGATGACTGACTGATAGTCTCACCCATCAGGTAATATCTGCATGTGGGGAGTTAACAACAGCCATCTTACTGTTTCCAACTTAGCAACTTTGTCAATATAATAAGCAACTTTTCAGACAAAAAAAAAAAATGTTATTGGTTAAAACCGGAATGAGCTGGTAAATCTGTGTAAAGATCAGTGATTGGCCAGGCCAAAAGTAAGTTTTTTTGTTTTTGTTTTTTCTCTGTCTGTTCCAATCAAGATGTGTTGATGTCCATCATGTGATCAGTGCTGGCGGGAAGCCGCAGTCCAGTAAATGAGTCCAGCTCTTTAAGCCCCTCATCAGCCAATCAGGCCGAACAGCACGTCAGCTGGGCAGAGCAGCAAAAACAGATGCGTGGAGCAGCACTTGGATGAGGAGGTTTAGATCCTCTGCCCCTCCGCAACTCGTTGTCTGTCTGTCGCATCTCATCAGAGCCATTAGACTCCACAGCAAGAAAACAGGAATTCAATCTCATTCCTCACCTGCTCCCCTCGCAGCTGCCGAACCCAGCGCCGCGGCGCAGGGTCGTGTTTGAACAAGAGGAGGAGAAATAATGTGGAATAAAATAAAGAGGCACAATTCACCTGAGAGTGACTGAGAGTCTCCTTAATTTGTCAGTTTATCTGTCAGAGCACCTGCTGTCACAGAAATAAACTCAAATTAAAAAAAAAAAAAAGTGTGAAGTCGGTAATGAGGAAGTGTTGACGTGACGGGGGGTAAGATCTGTGTTCTTCACAAAAGCAAAAAAACAAACAAACAAAAAAACACACATCAGATGGTTGATGAAGAGGGGAGACAAAGTGAGCAAAAATAAATGTTGAGTAAGAAAAAGGCTCAGAGTTTTTGAAAAAATAATTTATGTTAAAAGAAAAACAAAGTAATTGTCAATATTATCTAAGAAAAAGTTTAAATGTTTCTGACAGGGAAACAGGCCCTGTTATTATTCTAATTGGTCAACTCGTTATTTGTCTTTATTCATTTAGCTTTTGAATTATCTTTGAAAAGTACATCAAAGGAGCAATATGATGTGTTTTCCAGCCACACTGTGCCATTTTATAGCACAGTCAAGTAACTATGTTGCCTTCAGTTGTTGTAAAAAATGATGTCAAATATGACTTAAAAGAAATTTGACTTCATAAAACAGCACCTTGAAATTGTGCCTCTGTCTCTTTAAGAAACATCTGCTCTTTCTGAAACTCCAACTTCAGGAAGACATCACAACATGGCTCCTCCTGGCTCCACCAGATGTTTGGTAATTGCTGCTGGCTAGTCTGAAGGAGCTGAGTGGGAGAGTCACAGGGGAGGGCTGCTCTGAGGCGGACACTTGGAAACTGCAGCTCCGAGGAGGAGCTGTGTCTCGAAGGCGGAGCTAGGGCCACCCAGGTGTTTTGCACAGCTGAATTTTTGCCATGGAGATTAAAGGTTTTCTCAAACCCACATGAAAGAATGGTGCCATAATTGATGAGGGAATAACACTATAATATGATGTGAAGCTCAAAAATCATTTATTTTACATAACAGCGCCTCTTAAAGATGGATGTGTGAGAAGCTCAGAACAGACATTAAGGACAGACATTTAAAGCTCCAGCCTACAGCAGCTCTCCTCCTTCACTAACACAAAGGTTATGTGTCCTTTGGGCTTGAAGCCAGTCCTTGTAGCCAGAAGTCCAAGGTCAGAAAGAAAGAAAGAAAGAAAGAAAGAAAGAAAGAAAGAAAGAAAGAAAGAAAGAAAGAAAGAAAGAAAGAAAGAAAGAAAGAAAGAAAGAAAAGGGACAAATAAGATACAAGCAGAACATAAAATGTAATTTTAAGAGTCACAACAGCAGCTCTGCTCCACCTCTTCATGTTTCAGTTCAGACTGAGATAAATCATAAATGTCAGTACAGACACTTACGTGCCACACAGTACAGGCCAATAGTAGATTTTCCTTGAGCTACAAGGCTGCATCAATATTTAAAATATTTATTGTAGAATATCTAACAGTAGATGATACATAAAAGTTTTTTTTTTTTTAAATCCACTGCCTTTAGGTAGAATTCATTGGAACAGCATCTCATTGTGTCTTTCTTTACGGCTCAGATCAGGGAGGAGAAAAACAAGAAAAATCAGCGGCTTTCGCCCTGAGGTGTCGCCGCCTCACATCACAGAGGAAAAGCTGTGTGAGCGAAACCAAACTGACACAGTCACATTGGATTATTCCACACAGGACTCTTCAAATGGAGCGTCATGCCTTCCATGTCTGATATGCAGATCAGCAGACTCATTAAGCTCAGCAGCAGAAATCAGAACAAGGGTTTACTTGGTGTGTTATAGATTATAGGACACATCAAACTTCTAATTTAGTTATAGTTTAGTTATTCCATATACCTCGTGGAAGGTGACTCTTTTCTGGATATTCTACTGTTTACTGGAGAGCAATTAAAGCATTTGAATGGGATAGCAACATAATGATAATAATAATATTTATAGTTTTATTTTTTTACTTTAGCTGTATTATTTTCCATCATGACTGTTCCTCCTCAGAATCACATTTTAAAAGCCTTTTATTTAAGTATTTAGATGCATACACGTTTCACACTTCTGTTTAGGGAATACAAAAAACCTGAAACTTTAAAATTAAAAAAACATGAAAATAAAAAAAACCTGAAACATGAAGAGATGGAGCAGAGCTGATGTTGCGACTCTTAAAATTCTGTTTTACATTCCGTTTGTATCTGTTTTGTCCTTTCTTTCTTAGATTATCTCTAGGAGATGTTATATGAAACTGAACAAACTTTGTTTTGTATAAACTTTGCTTTTGAGATCATCCAATGCAGTATTGTTGTTTATACATGTAAATCGTGAAAAAGTGAAGATATTTTTCCTGCTTTGTATGGACAGTGTGCTTTTCAGTTTTCCATGTATTTAAGACAAATACGTGGCAAAAATATGTAATTATTTCTGTGAGCAAAGTTAAAAATATAATAGACATGGATGATGTAAAGTCACAGTATGACTTTCACAAAAGGATGTTTTTACATGTTTGTTAAAATGATCATTATGACGTGACAGGTAATCTGTGAAAAGCCTGAGCTCCTCCATCTCCTCCCTGAGCTGCTACTACCGTCTGAGGAAAAGCACCGCTGCCACCAAACTAACTCATCCAACTTAATGTCCATTTGGACTGATGGAAATGAGGAAATTTGTCACAGAAAATGTCTGCAATCTGTACACTCCATTATGAAATAACCGTCAATGGACATGAACTCTGAGTTCGCCTAGCTCACAGACTAAAACCCAAACAGAAGAAAATATAACAATACAAGCAATAAACACAATGGAGGAGCTACTAGTTCCAGATGAAATGCATGATTTAGAAAAGTAATTTATTTTTGGCCCTGTGATGGACTGACAATGGAGATAAGCACCAGACTCCCCCACCCCCCCTGCAACCCTGCAAGGATAAGCAGGAAGAGGCGATGGATGGATGATGGAGGGATTTGTTTGCCTAAAGGCATCAGAATAAAGCACCAAGATAAAACGTGTCTTTGTTTTGGGCTGAGAATGCTCTTCTTCTTCTTCTTCTTCTTCTTCTTCTTCTTCTTCTTCTTCTTCGCAAGAGTGAAAACACATCTCTGTGTGGCACCGGTAATAATAATTGTGAGCATTACTGCCTTCGTGACTGTGATTGTCTTTAACAATATAACCAGCAAGTAAGAGAAAAGAAAACAAGACTGTCAACAAACGAACCATACACGACTAAGGCTTTGTCCACAGCTGTGTTTACATTAGCAAAACATTTACAATATTCTGCTAATGTCAAAAAAAGCACAATTTCACAATTGTTGTGTTTTCATTAAAGAAGAAATACAATTAAAATCCTACGTGACTGAGCTCGTTCACACGATGTCATTAAGAAATAAAACGTACTTCCTCTCGTCGTCTTCGTCGTTTCCGCCACTAGAAACATCCCGTTGTTGATCACATGACTATTGTGATGCGAAAGAAGCGTTTCAGTTGCAGTTTCGCAAAATAATTTTGAAACAGAACAACCACTTCATCCTAGCGCAAAAAACTTTTAGCTAAAACGGTGAGTTTTTTCCTAAATCACGTTAGTTGTTTTCTGTCAACAAAATAAAAATCATCGCCA